CTGCTAGGAACGCTGAGGGCATGTCTTTCCTCACCTCAGGCCCTGGGGGGGGGGGCTTGCTTTAGGTCGGGCATGTCCCTCTCCAGGCGGATTTTCGACGAGAACAAAAGAAAATAGCAGCAAAAGACACTCCAACATAATCGAAAAATGTTTTAAAAATAATCCCCAGACTGTTTGTCTACCATTTTTTGATATTCGCCCTGTAGAGGGACAGGCCCGACTTCAGGCTTGCTCCAAAACGAACTCCAGAGGGCGCCGCACGCGCCCGGCGCCCAGGAGGGACCCACAGGGGGCCAGAGGTAAAAGCCTCGGCCCCAGCTCAACCACGTGGGCTAGGGGCTTAGAGGGCTCTGGAAACGACATGGCCGTTTTTTTACCGGTTCCGTTTTGACGTTTTTTTGCCGGTTCCGACGCCGTTTTTGTTACCGGTTCCGTCGCCGTTGTTTGACCGGTTCCAGCTCCGGTTCCAATCCTGGAGCCGTTGTTTTGCCATTTCCAGTCGCCTTTTTTAACCGTTTCCATTTTCAAGGGACATTTTTCTGGAAAAAGTGAAAAAACGGTCCTGCCGTTTCCGAGGCCCACTAAGGCTAGAGGTCAACCTCCTGGGTGGTTTACCTCAGTACCACCAGGTTCCAAAACGCACGCGCCGCACCTAGAAGAAATAGTACCCATCGGCCGTGCCAGTGCTTGACCTCAGCACCAACAGGCTTCAGGGCCTCGAAGGCGGTGGAACCCCAAGCGTGGATCGAACCTGGATGTCGCCGCCGCCCTCCTCAGACGAGGAACCTCCCAGGGCCTGAAGCCTCCTGGGCACACTCCTGGCACCAACGCTTCCACCGTGTGAGGGCGCGCCGTCCGCCCATCAGAGTGAGCAGGGGGCCTCTGCCGCACTGCCGCGCGGCGGCCACGCCGCCTTGGCCCGCGCCGCCGGGCCGGGCCGGGCGTCGCACGTCGGCTGCCGAAGAGGGGCGGCGACCCTCGCAGAAAGCTCTGCGCGGGCAGCTCTGCGCGGGTAGCTCGCGCGCGAATGCCCGCGCTGTCGGCAGCGTGTTTTGCGTTGTTGTGGGGGGAAAAGGGGTTATTTGGTTTACATGTTTTTGTTGTTGCTGTTGCTGTTGTTGTTGCTGCTGTTGTTGCTGTTGCTGTTGTTTGGTTTCTTTGTTTGTTGTGTTATGCTTGGCTGCCGGTGTTTCATATTGTTGTTGTGTGTGCTGTCTTGTATAGTGTCTTTGTTGTGCTTGATTGTTGATTATGGTGTTTGGTGGAAGTGTTGTCTGCTGCCTTTTGTTTGCTCATGTTTTGATATTGCCTGAGATCCGGGCTTTGCACTTGTTTCACAGCGGGGCTTGTCGCTGGCTCAGGGCCCCGGGGCCATCACAGATCGATCCGGCGCGAAACATTTAGCAGGAAGGTGGGCCCTGGGGCTCCGGCCGTGGTTTTTCGCGAGGTTGCACTTTTGTGGCAACGTCGGACCTCAGGGCTGGAACTTCTGCGTCGCCCAGATGCCCAACAATGCCAAGGGCGGTCACCACGCACGGGGTCGGCGCCCCCGCTCAGACACGCACAATTCCAGGGCCTGCCCCGGGACCAGCGCTTCGCCCCGAGCCGTTCCCTGAAGGTCCTGGGCCTGAGGTTCGGTCGGGCATGTCCCCCTACAGGCGGATGTTGGACGAAAATATAAACATATTAAAAAATACTCAAACTGGTTATTAAACAACAAATTGTCCAAAAATCGTCCCCTGACTATTTTCACTGCTTCTGACTTCTCCTCCTGTAGAGGAACATGCCCGATTTAATCCTGGGGCCCAGGAAGGGCCCCGAGGGCCCGAAGACGGCAAACAACTTGTGACCAGTTCCTCTCGGGACGCGCCTGCTCCACGTCGGAGGCGAGGAGGCGGGGGGGCGGCAGCAAACTCGCCGAAGGCAAACATTTTCGCAACGAGCTCGCGGAAGGCAAACATGATGGGCCTGTTTTCACCACCACCACCACCATAACATGGAGGGGGGGAGACGGAGGAGCACGAGGAGGAGGAGGACGACGAGGAGGAGGATGAGGTGGTGGAGGACGAGGAGGAGGAGGAGGAGGAGGAGGAGGAGGAGGAGGAGGATGAGGAGGAGGAGGAGGACGACGAGGTGGAGGACCCCGTCCCCCTCCAACTCATGGTGGAGGTGGTGGAGAGAGAACAGGCCCCTCAACACAGATGTGGCAGCGAGCGCACGGAAGGCCACACCTCTCCCTGCCGAAGGCATTAGCCCCCTTCAGGGAGCCGCGCTGCCCTCGGAGAGCTCCAGGAAGCCCCTGCCCTCGGAGGGCAGGCGCTCGCCTCCAGCGCGGAGCAAACTCTCCCCGTCGGAGAGCTCCCCGCCGCGCAGCAGGCTGCCCTCCGGGAGCGTATCGGTGAGCGGGCGGGCCGCGGCTCGGCGCGCGAGAGGGGGGCGCGGGGAGGCCTGCGCCGCCTCGTCCTCGCCCTCCTCGCGCTCCTCGCGGCCGCCCTCGCGCCTGCGCGGGGGGAGTGGTGGCGTCGCCTCCCCGCTGTGGCCCCGAGCTCTTTCGGTGGCCAGACTTTGAGCGGGGCTCGCAGCGTCGTGCGAGATGACTCTTGCGGCTGAGCAAGAGACAAGCACGTACCTCAGATAACCACGTGCAACTCACAGTGCCATGGCACAGCCGCCGAAAGGTACCTAAACGACCACCCTTCGGGTGATAAGGAGGTTCGGGGGGGGGAGGAAGCTACGTCTCACTCGATCGGTCGCACTGTCAATCTCACTATCGATTTCACTATCGGTCTCGCTCGATCGATCTCACTCGATAGATCTCACAATCGATCTCACTCGATCTATGTGATTCTATCGATCTCACAATCGATCTCACGATCGATCCCACAATCGATCTCACTATCGATCTCACTATCGATCTCACAGTCGATCTCACATGCGGTATCACTATCGATCTCACTATCGATACCACAATCGATCTCACAATCAACGTCATTATCATCAACAGCATCGTCATCAACGTCATCAGCATCATCATCATAATCGGGACACTATCATCATCATCACCACCTCATCACCATCATCATCAACAGTATCATCATCATCACCATCACCATCATCAGCATCAGCATCATCATCATCACCAGGACACCATCATCGTCACCATCATCATCATCATCATCATCATCAACAACATTATCATCAACGGGACAGCATCGTCAACATCGGGACACCACAATCGTCATCATCTCATCATCATCATGAACAACATCATCAGCACCATCATCATCGGGACACCATTATTATCATCAGCATCACCATCATCGTCACCATCATGAGCAACGGGACACCATCATGAACGTCACCATCACCATCATCACCATCATCATCGGGACACCATCATCATCATTATCAGCATCATCATCATCATCATCACCATCATCGGGCCACAATCATCGAAATCATCATCAACACCTCATCATCATCATCATCAGCATCAACATCATCATCATCATCGGGACACCATCATCGTCATCATCAGCATCAACATCATCAACATCATCATCATCACCATCATCGGGACACCATCAGCATCATCATCATCATCAACAGCATCATCATCAACCTCATCACCATCATCATCGGGACATCATCATCATCACCGTCATCTCATCATCATCTCATCATCATCAACATCATCCAGATCAATCAACATCATCATCATCCGGACACCATCATCGTCATCATCATCATCATCAACATCACCATCAACGGGACACCATCAGCATCACCACCATCACCATCATCATGATCATCATCATTAACATCATCATCAACATCGTCATCATCATCATCATCATCATCATCATCATCATCATCATCATCATCATAATCATCATCATCATCATCATCATCATCGGGACACCATCATCACCACCACCACCACCACCATCATCATCATCATCATCATCATCATCATCATCATCATCATCATCATCATCATCAACATCATCGACATCAGCATCAGCATCAGCATCATCAGCATCAGCATCAGCATCAGCATCAGCATCAGCATCAGCATCATCAGCATCAGCATCATCATCATCATCATCATCATCATCATCATCATCATCATCATCATCATCATCATCATCATCGGGACACCGACGGGACACCGGCGGGACACCAGCGGGACACCGCGCGCCACCGGCCCCCGGTCAGGAATCATTTGGTGCGGCCGCGCCTCAGCCGGAGGCGGGACACCGGCGGGACTCCGCGCGCCGCCGACCCCCGGACAGGAATCATTTGGTCCGGCCGCGCCTCAGCCGGAGGAGACTTTCTTCTCGCCCGCCCACGCATCTTCGCCTCGCCCGCGCGCACGGCACGCACGAACACGAAACCGAAACCGATTTCCCGGTAGGGGGGCTCTCCGTTCCACTTCGATCTCACCCCCTCACCTCCGACGAAGGGAGACCATATGGAGTGGAAAAAGGAAAGGCTCACGAAGGAGCTAGGCCCTGCAACTCCCCTCACCTCCCCTCCTGGTCCTCCTGATTCTCGTAATCATCCTGCAAAGCCTCCTCCTAATCCTTCTCCGAGTCCTCCTGATCCTTCTCCGAATCCTCCCGATGCTCCTCCCAATCCTCCTCCTCGTGCTGTCTCTTAGCGGCGGCTCTTGCAGGCACCCCCTCGATGGTCTCAAATCTGGGGTCCCTGCATCCGTATTTGCCACCGCAGGGGTTGAACAAATGCACCGACTGCTTATGAAACGTGTGCGGGGTGTGCCGAAACAGAGACATGCGAAAGCAAAAGCAAGGAGGGACAGGAGGGAGGAGGGGGAGGAGGGGGCGGAGGAGGGAGGAGGAGAAGGAGACGCGGGACGCTCTCTCTTCAAAACGAGGACCCACCACCACAGGACGGTTGGGAAAAAGCAGATGAACCGACTGCTGATGACCCCCTCGCGCCTGAACCTGAGAGCGTCTTCGAACGTCTCGCGTTCACGCCCGCTGGCGGGGCCGCCCCCACGTCCCTGGTAGTGTCCGGGGTGTGCCGAAATGGGCGGGACGGCGGCATGCAAACTTGGACACCGGGGCCTTCGCTGGAGCTCCCCAAGAGGTCACGAAGGCGTGCGAGGGGTACCGAACTTGGCGCGGCGGCCGCACACACACACACACACACCACACCACACCACACCACACCACACCACACCACACCACACCACACCACACCACACCACACCACACCACACCTACACACACACACACACCTACACACACACCTACACACACATACACACACACACACCTACACACACCTACACACACCTACACACACACACCTACACACACCTACACACACACCTACACACACCTACACACACCTACACACACACACACACCTACACACACCACACCTACACACACCTACACACACACCTACAACACACCTACACCTACACACACACCTACACACCTACACCACACACTACACACACACACACCTACACACACACCTACACACACACACACACCTACACACACCTACACACACACCTACACACCCACCAACACACCACCTACACACACCTACACACATATACACATACCTACACCTACACACACCATATACACACACACCACACACACACCTACACACACACACACACCTACACACACACACTACACACACACACCTACACCCACCTACACCCACCTACACCCACCTACACACACCTCTACACACACCTGCACACACCTACACACACCTACACACCTACCACACCTACACACACCTACACACACCTACACACACACTACACACACCTGCACACACCTGCACACACCTGCACACACCTGCATACACCTGCACACACCTGCACACTACTGCACACACTACACACACCTACACACACCTACCACCTACACACTACACACACTACACATCACTACACACCTACACACAGACACACCTGCACACACCTACACACACCTGCATACAGCACAACCCCGGCACACAAAAACAATAGAGACCTCACACACCTGCACACACCTACACACAAACCTACTCACAACCTACACACACCTAACACACACCTACACACCAACTACACACCCTACACACACCTACACACACCTACACACACCTACACACACACCTACCACACACCTACACACACACACACCTACTCACACCTACACACACCTACACACACCAACACACACCTACACACACCTACACACACCTACACACACCTACACACACACCTACACACACACCTACACACACCTACACACACACCTACACACACACACCTACACACACCTACACACACCTACACACACCTACACACACCTACACACACCTACACACACCTACACACACCTACACACACCTACACACAAAACACACACAAAACACACACACACACAACCACCCACACACACACACACTCTGACACTGGGGCTTCAGGTGTAGCACCGCATGGGGCGGCAGCGCGTGTGAGGGGGAGGGGGAGGGGGTCCCCCTCCTCCTCCTCCTCCTCCTCCTCCTTCTCCTCCTCCTCCTCCTTGTCCTCCTCCTCCTCCTCCTCCTCCTCCTCCTTCCCCCTCCAACTTATGGTGGTGATGGTGGAAAACAGGCCCATCAAAAGAGGAGTGCGCCGAGCGGGGGGACGGTCAACCCCCCCGGAGCTTCTGTGGGGCCCCCTTCGGGGCCACGCAACGTGTGAGGGGTGCGCCGAGATCGGCGGGGGGATGGTATACGCTCCCCCCACCCCTCTGGGAGCGTCTGCGGGGCCTTCCATGGGGCTACGAAGCGCGTGAGTGGTGTGACGAAGTGGACATGCGGACGGCTGAGGCAGGGATGGAAGGAGAGAGGGGGAGAGGAAGACGAGAAGAGGACGCGAAGCGCTGCGGATTCAAAACGAGGACCCAACACCACAGAAGGGTCGGGAGCACAACGTTCCGATTGGAAGCGTTAGAGCAGTGCAGATGCACACATGTGTATACTGGTATGGATGTACAAATGCGTGTGAGTGTGTTTGTGTGTGTGTGTGCGCATCCGAATTCTACCATGCAAGATCTTGAGCTCCTGCGCGTCAGAACAGTATGCGTGAGAAGCGAGGCCCCGAACCACACAAGTTCGGGGGAGAAGGGGAAATGGGTCTCCATACAAAAACGTGAGTATGGAGGGGGTGAAAGAGGTGAGGGAAAAGGGAGGGAAGGGGTTGTCAGGAGAGTGAGGTACGACGACGAGGCTTCGCGATCGGAAGGCGCTAGAGAGGTGCTCCTGGCCCAAGGTGACCATTCTGGGGCTCTCTGGAGCCTCGTGAGGGGTGCCCCTGGAACAACGTTTCCCCCTCGGCCAAGCCTAGAATACAACGCGACTAACAAAAAGAAGGAGAATATTCACAGTATCGCAGAGCGTACGAGTGATGCAAATACTCACGAGGACTCAAATAATCCTGCTCAGAACAAGACTAAGAAGACGAAGCAACACAACAAC